GAGGGCATACTGTATCAGCTCTTGCCCAGGTATGTGTGTGAAAGTTTATTTAACCTAATCTGTAATCGTTAAGAAGGAGGACCTACTGTATCAGCTCTTACCCAGGTATGTGTGTGAAAGTTTATTTAACCTAATCTGTAATTGTTAAGAAGGAGGACCTACTGTATCAGCTCTTACCCAGGTATGTGTGTGAAAGTTTATTTAACCTAATCTGTAATTGTTCAGAAGGATGGCATACTGTATCAGCTCTTACCCAGGTATGTGTGTGAAAGTTTATTTAACCTAATCTGTAATTGTTCAGCAACTCGTGCCATGGTAACGACTTTCACCTATATACTCAATGTTTTTTATTGTTATTATCATCATACTTTGTGTAATTAAAACTAATTCTTCAATATTATCGTGAACAACGGATTTAATTAGTGGGGGAAGGTTACGAGAGTAATGTTTGCATTGTTTGTGTTTTGTTTCTGCCTCAGTTGTTGGATTGAGTACTCTGCTGGGTGTGAAAACAACCGAAAGCAGAGCCCTCTGTTGGTTATAGAAGGAAACTAATCCAAGCCATGCGAGGTTCGAAAGTTTAAATAAATGTGTTTCATATAGAGAATTCTTTAAGACAAACGACACTTTTAGTAACATTAGTAAACTATGGGTTGAGATTTCAATAATTATTTTTAGCTGAGTTTTTTTTTTCAAAGGTCTGTAGCCAGGCAGCTAATTTCTGGAGAATCGGTGAAGGCAGAGGCTTTCGACAACGTAACTATCTACTTCAGTGACATTGTTGGATTCACGTCGTTGTCAGCGGAAAGCTCTCCCATGCAGGTATTTTTTCCCTTTTTTCCCTGTGCCCCCTCCCTCCAGTGGCTCAGCCGTAAGTCTTTAAGCTTATAACGCTAAACGCCGAGTTTCAATACCAAGCACAGATAGCTCATTGTGTTGTAGCTTTGTGCTTAATAACAAACAAACAACATTCTTCCTTGTGAGACAATAAAATAATGCCGTATTATTGTGGCGCCATCTATTCCGAATATGTAATATTTCGAATGAACGCAAGCCTTATGTGTTATGGACAATTTGGTGTTTTCAGATGTCTTACACTTACCACAGTGAGCCTATATCTATGTAACTAGTTTAACTCGGTGAGGAATGATAAATCGAATGTTAGATTGGGTTTCTCTTTTTTTTTCTGGTCTATTTGTTGTTTTTTAATTTCGCGCAAAGCTATACGAGGGCTATCTGCGCTAGCCGTCCATAATTTAGCAGTGTAAGACTAGATGAAAAGCAGCTAGTCATCACCACCCACCGCCAACTATTGGACTACTCTTTTACCAACGAATAGTGGGATTGACTGTCACATTATAACGCCCCCACGGCTGAAAGGGCGAGCATGTTTGGTGTGACGGGGATTCGAACCCGTGACCCGCAGATTGAGAGTCGAGCGCCCTAACCTCCTGGCCACTTATATAATATATTTAATCTGTAAAATTAAATTAAACACTTATATAATCTATTTAATCTGTAAAATTAAATTAAACACTTATATAATCTATTTAATCTGTAAAATTAAATTAAACACTTATATAACCTATTTAATCTGTAAAATTAAATTAAACACTTATATGAGCTATTTAATCTGTAAAACTAAATTAAACACTTATATGAGCTATTTAATCTGTAAAATTAAATTAAACACTTATATAATCTATTTAATCTGTAAAATTAAATTAAACACTTATATGAGCTATTTAATCTGTAAAACTAAATTAAACACTTATATGAGCTATTTAATCTGTAAAATTAAATTAAACACTTATATGAGCTATTTAATCTGTAAAACTACATTAAACACTTATATGAGGTATTTAATCTGTAAAATTAAATTAAACACTTATATGAGCTATTTAATCTGTAAAACTACATTCAACACTTATATGAGCTATTTAATCTGTAAAATTAAATTAAACACTTATATAGTCTATTTAATCTGTAAAATTAAATTAAACACTTATATAATCTATTTAATCTGTAAAATTAAATTAAACACTTATATAATCTATTTAATCTGTAAAATTAAATTAAACACTTATATAACCTATTTAATCTGTAAAATTAAATTAAACACTTATATAACCTATTTAATCTGTAAAATTAAATTAAACACTTATATGAGCTATTTCATCTGTAAATTTAAATTAAACACTTATATAAGCTGTTTAATCTGTAAAACTAAATTAAACACTCATGAAATGCTTATATAATTCGTAATAAAATATAGCTTTTTTTTTACTTAAATATTTTTATTATTTATGATACTGGCCCGGCTTGGCCAGGTGGTTAGGGAGCTCGACTCGCCATCTGCGGGTCGTGGGTTCGAATCCCCGTTCCACCAAACATGCTGGCCCTTTAAGCCTTGGGGGCGTTATAATGTGACAATCAATCCCACTATTCGTTGGTAAAAGAGTAGCCCAAGAGTTAGCGGTGGATGGTGATTACTAGCTGCCTTCCCTCTTGTCTTTCACTGGTAAATTAGGGACGGCTAGTGCAGATAGCCCTCATGAAGATTTGCGCGAAATTCATAGCAAACAAACAAACTATTTATGATGCTTACATTCATTACTTTCAAACTCGTCTGATTAAGAAATCCTTGTTTTACTTATTTTCAAGAAATAGTTGTGAACCCTTGTATACCAAGGGTGTGTGCTGACCACGTGTTTATAATTTTTTGTCGTTTTGGAGTTGGTGAGCTTTGCTATATGATAAGAAAATAGTACACGTTTTGATAGTTGAGACTGTTACAAAGTGAGTAAAAACATCTGACTCAGCTCCATGATTAAAGGCCATAAATTATTGGCTTTCTTTTTACCTTTGTACAATAGCAACTGATCTTTTACACCTCCTGTAAAGAGCAGAAAACTTAATACTCCTGGAGAGGTTGTCCCTTTCAACTATATTGTCCCCCGAAGAAAGATGTCCCTTCCAGGTATGTTGTAAACCCCACAGTGAGCTGTCCCTTCCAGCTATGTTGTAAACCCCACAGTGAGCTGTCCCTTCCAGCTATGTTGTAAACCCCACAGTGAGCTGTCCCTTCCAGTTATGTTGTACCCCGCAGTGAGCTGTCCCTTCCAGTTATGTTGTACCCCGCAGTGAGCTGTCCCTTCCAGTTATGTTATACCCCGTAGTGAGTTGTCCCTTCCAGTTATGTTTTATCCCATTATGAGCTTTATTTACTGGTTATATTTCATTCCTAAATGAAACTGTAATATCATGTTTGTTATATTGTGAACTAACTAGCTGGTGAAATATGGATGAATAGATTTGGAAGACTTCAGCAAGCAGCTGTGCTGTTTGTAACGAATCACTTATTCGGTAAAGGACGTTCTCTAGTTCTTTACCAATAAAATAAAACAAAGCATAACTTTCTTAGGTACCGTTGTAGCAGATACAGACCAAAGTTCTACTACGTTTGAGTGAGGTTGATCGTTTCAACACGACTAAACTAATCTCAGTAGATAGAGAGATATAGATTATCATTTGTTATGTTTCAATGGTTAATCGTAATATGTTGTTCTGTACATTTTACGAAGAGCCAACCCAATGATTCTTGGTAAGATTATATCGCGGAGTATGCATCTTACTCCGAAGAACATTTATTTATTTGTTAAATTAGAACATTTATTTATTTGTTAAATTATAACATTTATTTATTTGTTAAATTAGAACATTTATTTATTTGTTAAATTATAACATTTATTTATTTGTTAAATTAGAACATTTATTTATTTGTTAAATTAGAACATTTATTTATTTGTTAAATTAGAACATTTATACATTTGTTAAATTAGAACATTTATTTATTTGTTAAATTTTGAACAAAGCTACTCAAGTGTTATCTCCGATAGCTATCCTAAAATTTGAATTGATATACTAGAGGGAAAATAGTTATTCAACAAAACCCATCCCTAACGCTTGGGTTACTCTTTACAAACGACAAGATGGATTGAACTTCACATTGTAACGTCCCCACGGCTGAAAGGGCGAGCATGTTCGGTGACAGGATTATGAATCCACGACCCACAGATTGCGAGTCGAGCACCCTAATAATCAGACCATTCTAGGATTCCCTCCCGAAAGAAATGAACCTATAAACTGAATTGAATATAAGCAAAATGATTTTCCCTAAAAGGTTACAAGTTGTTATTGTACCTAATTATCACCTCCTGCACCCTTAAATCTGAAAATATGAATCATGGCTACTGCAGCATTGTTTCAACGTCAACAAAGTCCTTTGACCAAGAAAAAATAGTTCCCTTCTATTTACAATAACACCCTTTTTAAAACCCGAGACCCAAGTTTAGCTAAGAAGAAACCTGTGAAATTAAAGTTTTCATTTTTAATCGTTCTAAAGGAAGTTGAAGTAGTGTAGAGAAATGGAGGCTTAGCCGTTCAATAGGCTATATGCGTGGTGACCACAGCAAAGATCGAACCTCGAATTTGGGCTATAAGCCGACAAGCTTACTGGTGAGCCAGCGGGGTCTCATTTCGACACAAACTTTGTCTCTTGTAGCTTGCAGTAAACAGTTTCTTCCTATTTATTTTTAGGTTGTTGACCTTTTGAATGACCTGTACACCTGCTTTGACTCCATCATTGAGAATTTTGATGTTTATAAGGTAAGTATTTAATATATATATATATATGTTCATAGTTTGATATTTACAAGACAAAATTGTATTTCTGTATTAATGTTATACTGGTTTAACAATAAACTTGCCGTTTTATAATCTTATTTCAAAGTTTTAAAAGACAAATGATCAAATTTAGATATGTATCAATATTTTAACGTACACGACGTAAGGCTAGAGTTTTCGTATTTTTATTATAATATTAACAAAGATAAGTTATCAAACTTGTATTGGTATGTTAATGCTTTTAAGGTAGTATAATATCATTATTATCACGTGTGGCCCGGCATGGCCAGGTGGTTAGGGCCCCGGCATGGTCAGGTGGTTTAGGGCACACGACTCGCAATCTGAGGGTCGTTGGTTCGAATCCCCGTCACACCAAATATACTCGCTCTTTCAGCCGTTGGGGCGTTATAATGTGGCGGTCAGTCCCACTATTCGTTGGTAAAAGAGTAGCCCAAGAGTTGACGGTGGGTGGTGATGACTAGCACTGCTAAATTATGGACGACTAGTGCAGATAGCCCTCGTGTAGCTTTGCGAGAAACTCATAACAAACAATTATTACGTTTTTTGCTTAATAATTATATTTATATAGTGATTACGAGTGTTATATGTGACTAATATTTCACATGGCATTTGATAAGGTTATTTCGGGTTTCTTTTTTATTATTTGAGCAATGATATTATTCAGTAATGTTTTATGTTTATATATAAGTTGTAAGGATAACATGTTTTATGTTCTATTGAGTGGTTAAGATAAATTTTTTGTTTGCTGAATTGTGGTAATATTCTGGGATGATTATTAGTATAACAAACTGCTTGAAACTTGAAACTCTCGTAGCACATTATTATGGTTTTCTTATATGAAATCCGTTGAACTTGAAACCCTAGTAGCACATTATTATGGTCTTCTTGTATGAAATCCGTTGAACATGAAACCCTCGTAGCACATTATTATGGTCTTCTTGTATGAAATCCGTTGAACTTGAAACTCTAGTAGCACATTATTATTATGATCTTCTTGTATGAAATCCGTTGAACTTGAAACCCTCGTAGCACATTATTATGGTGTTCTTGTATGAAATCCGTTGAACTTGAAACCCTCGTAGCACATTATTACGGTCTTCTTATATGAAATCCGTTGAACTTGAAACCCTCGTAACACACTATTACGGTCTTCTTTTATGAAATCCGTTGAACTTGAAACCCTCGTAGCACATTATTACGGTCTTCTTGTATGAAATCCGTTGAACTTGAAACCCTCGTAGCACATTATTATTATGGTCTTCTTGTATGAAATCCGTTGAACTTGAACCCTCGTAGCACATTATTACGGTCTTCTTGTATGAAATCCGTTGAACTTGGAACCCTCGTAGCATATTATTATGGTCTTCTTTTATGAAATCCGTTGAACTTGGAACCCTCGTAGCACATTATTATGGTCTTCTTGAAAAATTGTACTTAATATTTACCAATTAATTAAAAAGAAAAAAAATAACCTTGATATTTAACGATTAATTAAAGAGTGTGTGTGTGTGTGTATTTTTATTATAGCAAAGCCACATCGGCTGTCTGATGTGTCCACCGAGGGGAATTGAACCCCTGATTTTAGCAGTATAAATCCAAAGATTTAGCGATGTTCCAGCGGGGGATGATTAAAGAGGGAAAAATTAACCTTGATATTTACCAATTAATTAAAAAATAACCTTGATATTTACCAATTAATTAAAAAATAACCTTGATATTTACCAATTAATTAAAAATAACCTTGATATTTACCAAATGATTAAAGAAGGAATAATTAACATATGAATGATACTAAAACGGCTTATTTGATTTATATTATAAAGTCATTATGCTATTTTGTTGTGAAATATTTTTAATCGTTTTAAATTAAACCAAGTTCTTTAAACAACTGTTCCCATAGTATATCATTTCAACTATCTTTCAGTGTCCCCCGATGGTACAGAGGTAAGTCTATGAAGTTACAACGCTAAAATCAGGGGTTCGATACCTCTCGGTGGACACATCAGATAGCCCGATGTGGCTTTGATATAAAAAAAAAACACGCACTCTTTCACTGCTTTTTATCCTTTCAGGTAGAAACAATTGGTGATGCGTACATGGTGGTTTCGGGACTTCCGGTTCGAAACGAGCAACAGCATGCTTCTGAAGTTGCCAGAATGTCACTAGCGTTGCTACAAGCTGTTAAGACCTTCACCATTCGCCATAGACCTGAAGACAAGCTGAAACTTCGGATCGGGATACACACCGGTTAGTTATTCGGTTGACTTATCAGCTCGTGTCTTTTAAGTGATTTGGTCGTGCCTAGATGAACACTTCAATTCCTGAACACATGAAGAACATAACAATGTTTTTGTTATTGTAAATATCTTATAATCAGTGGATGTGAATTTCAAACTAATGTTTGTGTTTCTCAAAATGACTACTTTCAGTGCCTTTAATACAAATACATTTTAAATTGTTCTATTTAAGTGCGAAGCTACACAGGTATCTAACCCTTTATTTTAGCGCCATAAGCCCTAAAGCTTACCACTGAGCCACCAGGAGGAACTGAAAGTTGGACATGTGATTGAATATCTAACAAGCTGGTACTAATTTGTAAGCCCTGTGGTTCAGTGACATTCTTAGTAAGTATTAAATGACAGGCTTCCATACTGCTTTTGGAGCCTGGCATGGCCTGGTGGTTAGGGCGCTCGACTAGCAATGTTCGAATCTCGGGGTCAAAATCTGTCGCCGAACACATGTTCGCCCCAGCCTTTCAGCCTTTATAACGTAACAATGAATCCCATTATTTGTTGGAAAGACTATCCCAAGAGTTGGCGGTTGGTGGTATTAACTTGCTACCTTCTATCTAATTTACTACTTCAAAATTAAGGACAACTAGCGAGATAGCTCTCAAGTAGTTTTGCGTGAAAAAAAAAACCCAACAACAACATTGCTTTTGTCTATTGGGTATTATTTATTTTGTCAAAACATCTTTGGCGTCCGAGATCACGATGTCAAACACATATTTCCTTTAAATATAATGTGTACTTTCATCGTGATGAAAATAATCCGCCTAAAAACGTACAAATAAATAAACAGTAGTAATTACCTGACTGTTGCGTCGGCTGTATATCTTATCGTACCATTTATTGCTACATTACGAAACTACTGATAGCGGTGAAAATCACAGGATGACGTAATTCTAGAAACTACACCCAGGTAAAAAAAACTCTCGAGGTATTTTTAACAGATGATGATAACATTGCTCAAAAAATCAAAGAATGGTGTAGACGTAACAGTCACACCCAGGTAACAAATTCGATTGCCAATGTATTCATTAGTTAATTAGAAAAATCAAAGAATGGCGTAGACGTAACACTGCAGCCCAGTTTGTACTCACGTTGTTTCTAACTGTTAAATCCATTTAATCAGATTCAATTTTTAGGTATTTATTTTTATTGGTCCTTTTTAACTAAAATTAAGTTTTAGGGGGTTTATTATTACAGGTCCTCGAAATCAAAGCTACGCCAACATGTATGAAAAATAAAATATTACTCTTTATATAAGATTCATTTTTCATGGATCTACTTTTACTTCGTATATGGAACAAAGTTGCTGAACAATGAAGAGGGATAGTGAAGTATTCAGAAAAGCTCGAATTTGGGGTCTCGTTTGAAAACCATATCTTAATACTACATATCTGATAATGTACTGCATATCACACAGAACTTTGGGAACATCTTCTTGAAACCAGAGTAATCTCTAGGGACCTACTTTTCTAGGTCTTTTCAAACAGAACTAATATTTAGGGACTTTTTCAGCTAGTTATTAGGACTTATTTTCCCTGGTTCTTACCGCCAGAATTAATCTATAAGGTCTAATTTATTACACGCCCATGCAATTATAGTTAATCTTTAGGGGTTTATTTTTCAGGTCCTTGTGCAGCTGGTGTAGTAGGGTTAAAAATGCCAAGATACTGCTTGTTTGGTGACACTGTCAATACAGCGTCACGAATGGAATCTTACGGATTACGTAAGTAACTTATGTTTATCGGTTCCATTAACTGTATACCGAAACTTTGTACTTGGAAATAATCCACGAATAACAATAAATGTCACCGTATTTGTTTTTTAACTGTTGAAAACTTGAATTATTCTATAAGTTGATTTCAGTTTTGTATTAATAATTGGAGCCTTAAATGAGTGAAAGTTGAATCTGATTATTGTATCCTTCAGCCTTAAATTAGCTTGAAAGTTAAACCTAATTCTTGTATTGTCCACTTTAAATTAAAACTGAAAGTTGAACTTAATTATTGTATTCTTCAGCCCTAAATGAACTTCATATCTAAACCTATTAATTAAGAATGGAGAATACAACTGAAGAATTCAAGAATTAAGCTTAATTTTCACCCACCCTTGAAGATTCATGTTAGTTCCACAACCAAAGAAGTTCTGGATAACTACGGAACGTTTCAGTTGGAGTTGAGAGGAGAAGTGGAGATGAAGGTAAGAATTAATTGTTCAAATAAAAGATGATAAAGTAGGCTTATGACAGTTGTGTTTCACAGCATATTCTTATTTGATTCACAATCAACTGTAAGTACTGTCGAATGAAAATTGGATGTTAAGTGACAACTTAAATGGTTTTTTTCTCTATTAGAAGCATTCAAACAAAAACTAATGATACTGTGACAAGAAAAGCTAATTTACTTTATTGTGAGATTACGTAGTTAAACGTGATTTGCATATATTTTTGTTTTTTGCTGTTTTCAGTAAATATTTGTTTATTTTTCTTTTCATGTGATGATCGTTTGTGATTTTTTTTTAAAAGCATATGTTTATTTTAAGATATCAGTGTTTAAATATATACAAAATCTTTGTTCTTTCAACAGGGCAAGGGGAAAATGACGACCCACTGGCTAATAAAAGAATATGTCCATCATGAAAAACCTTGTCTAAATCACTTAAGAGAGATTCAAGTTTAAAGCTTTAATTGAATTATCCATAAGTGAACCGCAAGCTTATGTGTTTCGTCCATCCTTGTATTTTTCTCTTGTGGAATGACAAGTGAAAGCTTTTTTTTTAAACCAAGTAGTATTTATCATAGAGTATAAAAAACCAGTGTTGACTTTACTAAGGAATGTTGAAACATGTTCCACTGTAACGAATTTTATTATATTTCATGAAAATTTCTCTGTGTCATTAGTGAATCGCACTGAAGAAATATCTATTTAGGAACTTTTTTTTATGCATCACAACTGCGATTTTCAGGTTAGTTACATTATGTTTAAATATATTTTCTCATTGTTATGTGAGCTGACACAAGTTCAAGCCCGAATTAAAACGGTTGCAAGTTTCATCGACGACTACGTCGAAATAAAAGATGCATTTCTGACCCAACAGATATTTTTTTTCATGATTTTCACATAGCAAAGCATTGATCTGATCTATTCATTATTATTATCAAAATTAGTTAAACATAAAATCAACGTAACATCTGATTACACTAGTGGCGCTGATATAGCAAGAGACCTGTGTATATCAGGACAAAACAGTAATTAGAATTAGCATTTTTAGTGTCAAAAGCGTTGTGATCAGATATCCGTGTCATTCTCAAAATACTGATGAAATTGACGCTGCGACTTTGTTTAATCTAATTGAAAAAATTTAAACAACAATTTTTTACAAGTAAATAAAAGTATGTCCAAAGTCCAAAGAATGTTTTTTTTTTGTGATTGAAGTAGTTCTTTTTCAATTAGTGTGTGTGTGTGTGTGTAGTGTAAACGTTCACACTTCTTCCAAGTTATTACTAATATATTTATGTAAAGTTTGCAGTTCCATCTCACCTTCAATTAAAGAAGCAATTTCTGAGTGTGTTTCTTTCGGTGTATTAAAAAGCTATTTATTATTTATTTTAGGGTGCACTGCTTTGATAGGAACCTGAACAAAGTCTTAAACTACCAGGGTTGTGACATATTTCATTACTTTGATGTTTAAGTTAAAGATTCGCAACCTTTGATTCTAATGACACTCTATTAAGAAGTGGATTCAACCAACAAATAAAGATATTTAATTTGATAATCTATTGTTCGTGCACAAAGTCAAAAACCCATAATTACTTGAAACTTGTCGTAGTAAATAGAAACGAAAATAAAAACTGTCTTATTTTCTAAAAGCCTTGGTACATTCTTAGCATTATTGTTTATGGCTTCTTCTGAGAGTTTTTGGAAAATGTGGTGCTATTTAATCTTCCAACATTACTTGAGACATTACTAAAGTCTGTGAGATCCATCCAGGTACGTGGCTGTCACGCGCCTTTAAATCTTTCGTGACTCGTTTGATGAGTCAAGGAATCGAATCCAGGAAATATATATAGAAGTTGTTACAATCACTGTGAGGTAAAAACAGATGTGTGAACAACTCTCTGTCGACTGAAGTTCGATGACTGGTTAACATAATCCTACAGGACTGTTTAGTAAAACAGAATCTCATAGCACTCGCTAATAGAACCCCTCAAAATTAGTTGATACAAAGCTATATATTGTAATAACTAGTTTACTATTAATATAAAAGTTAACGGTTAAATTTAACATTCAACTGTACATATACACAGAATTATTAAAGATAAAACTTCGGAGTAGATTAAATATTCCAGCGCTTCTAAGAAGGAAAAAAAAACATATGCAATGTTCTAAATGCTATTCGAAAGTAACGCAAACAATGTTTCAACACTTGTATGAAAATAACACAAATAATGCCACAACATTTGTATGTATATAACATAAACAATGTCTCAGCACTTGTTTAAAAATAACTTAAATAATGCCACAACACTTGTGTATAAATAACGTAAACAATGTCTCAGCACTTGTATGAAAATAACACAAATAATGTCTCAATACTTGTATGAAAACTATGTATATAATCCTCAATATTCATGTGAAAATAACACAATGGCCCAACACTTATATGAAAATAATTAAATAATGCCACAACACTTGTGTATAAATAACGTAAACAATGTCTCAGCACTTGTATGAAAATAACACAAATAATGCCACAACACTTGTATGTATATAACATAAACAATGTCTCAATACTTGTATGAAAATAACTTAAATAATGCCACAACATTTGTATGTATATAACGTAAACAATGTATCAGCCCTTGTTTAAAAATAACTCAAATAATGCCACAACATTTGTGTATAAATAACGTAAACAATGTCTCAGCACTTGTGTATAAATAACGTAAACAATATCTCAGTACTTGTTTAAATATAACTCAAATAGTGCCACAACACTTGTGTATAAATAACGTAAACAATGTCTCAGCACTTGTGTATAAATAACGTAAACAATGATCTCAGTACTTGTGTATAAATAGCGTAAACAGTGTCTCAGCCCTTGTTTAAATATAACACAAATAATGTCTACAATACTTGTATGTATATAACATAAACAATGTCTCAGCACTTGTTTAAAAATAACTTAAATAATGCCACAACACTTGTGTATAAATAACGTAAACAATGTCTCAGCACTTGTATGAAAATAACACAAATAATGCCACAACACTTGTATGTATATAACATAAACAATGTCTCAATACTTGTATGAAAATAAAGCATACAGTACTTTAACACTTATATGAAAGTAACGGAAACAGTGTCTCAATACCTGTATGAAAACTATGTATATAATCCTCAATACTCATGTGAAAATAACACAATGGCCCAACACTTATATGAAAATTTAGCAGTGTAAGAAGCCAGGTAGTCATCACCATCCACTCTTGGGTTACTCTTTTACCAACAAATAGTGGGATTGATCGTTACATTATAAAGCCCACACGGCTGAAAGGGCGAGCATGTTTGGTAAGGACCTACAGATTGAGGGGGATTCGAACCCGCGACCCTCATATTGCGAGTCGAGCGCCCTAACAACCTGGCCATGCCGGGCCAAGAAAAAAAAGTTAAAGTTAATATTATTGCTTTCAAAACCTTGAATATAATGTGATATAAAATTCTCAGTGCAATGATAAAGTATTAAGATGTAAATAAATAATTCTTAACTTACAACAAAGATTTTTTTATATACAATAAAATCGATGACGTCTATAGTAAAAACAAAATAACATATCAATCTAATAACCTGAGTGAAGCCAGGTACTTTGGAAAGTATGCAATATTGTATAACATATCAATCTAATAACCTGAGTGAAGCCGGGTACTTTGGAAAGTATGCAATATTGTATAACATATCAATCTAATAACCTGAGTGAAGCCGGGTACTTTGGAAAGTATGCAGTATTGTATAAAATATCAATCTAATGATCTGAGTGAAGCCGGGTACTTTGAAAGTATGCAGTATTATATAACATATCAATCTAATAACCTGAGTGAAGCCGGGTACTTTGGAAAGTATGCAATATTGTATAACATATCAATCTAATGACCTCAGTGAAGCCGGGTACTTTGGAAAGTATACAGTATTGTATAACATATCAATCTAATAACCTCAGTGAAGCCGGGTACTTTGGAAAGTATGCAGTATTGTATAACATATTAATCTAATAACCTCAGTGAAGCCGGGTACTTTGGAAAGTATGTAGTATTATATAACATATCAATCTAATAACCTGAGTGAAGCCGGGTACTTTGGAAAGTATGCAGTATTGTATAACATATCAATCTAATGACCTGAGTGAAGCCGGTATTTGGCAAGTATACAGTATTGTATAACATATCAATCTAATAACCTCAGTGAAGCCGGTATTTGGCAAGTATACAGTATTGTATAACATATCAATCTAATGACCTGAGTGAAGCCGGTATTTGGCAAGTATACAGTATTGTATAACATATCAATCTAATGACCTGAGTGAAGCCGGGTACTTTGGCAAGTGTGCAATATTGTATAACATATCAGTCTAATGACCTGAGTGAAGCCGGGTACATTATGTAAAATATTGCAAACTTATTATCAACAACGTTTCATACTTATATACAACATTGTAACATTCTTATCTATAATATTTTTTAAAATGTTTTTATTTTACATTCTAAACGACTTCCTAAGAACAAAAAGTCTCCCGGTGAGACAGCGGTAAGTCTTCGGAGTTACAACGCTAAATTTAGGGGTTCGATTCCCCTCGGTGAACACAGCAGATGACCGAATGAGGATTTGGTATAACAACACACGCACATAAACAAGAACAACAATTAATTCTCGTGATTAAATCTTTCACAGAAACAGGATTCCTGTTCTTCTAAACTCGTGATTAAATCTTTCACAGAAACAGGATTTCTGTTCTTCTAAACTCGTGATTAAATCTTTCACAGAAACAGGATTCCTGTTCTTCCAAACTCGTGATTAAATCTTTCACAGAAACAGGATTCCTGTTCTTCTAAACTCGTGATTAAATCTTCCACAGAAACAGGATTCCTGTTCTTCGAAACTCGTAATTAAATCTTCCACAGAAACAGGATTCCTGTTCTTCCAAACTCGTGATTGAATCTTTCACAGAAACAGGATTCCTGTTCTTCCACGAGACATAATTTTCTTCTATTAAATAACTGTGTAGTTAGGTATAAGTTAATAAACTCCACGTCACCACAAAAGTCGTATAATATACAATAGATTTTCTTTTTCTTTTCGAAATCGGACTAATTAGTTCAATGTGCAAACTTTAGCGTAAATAATATATATATATATTAGGATAAATTTTTATATAAAATCAAGAAATGAATCAAAGCTGCTTCTCACAAGTTATATAGCTTACTGCAACGACAGATAACTCTATCAATATAGATACGTTACATAGAAAAACTTGGACTATATCGAGTTCTGTTTAGACACTAACAGTAAAAAAAAATCGACTTTGGTCCTCAGATAACCGTATTTGCTATTTCGTATCGCACACGTCTAACAGATTAGTTTAGGGCAATCGAGGAGGTAAAGAAACCATATTATTACTTGTAAAAGTAGTTTCTTCTTCTT